ATCATTTGCACATTTAATAAGTATGTATTATATACCATCATCTGAGTTGTTAGTGAAAATACTGCATAGTCACTTCATTCCTCTCTTCATCTGGCCTGATGAATGTTTAAGTGTGTCACGCAAAATGGAATGAGAGAATCTGGAAGAGACCCGCCCTAGATCCTATAGCCAAGCAGCTGCAGTTCTTTTGTAATGTATAGATTCAAGTCCCTCTGAAAAGAAAGGGTTTGCGAGAAAATGAGTACCCTCACAGGTGACTGCTATGCCTGCTACAGACTAAATGTTGCAGGCCAGTGTATTTTCCATCAACCAGGGATGTATCTCTCTTCAGGCTTTTAAAGTGTGCAAGTACCTAACTCAGCCAGAGGTTTCAGTGTTGTAAACCTCATCCTGAGAGAGCCTGTGAGGCAGGAGAGGAGACTCGCAAGCTAAACAGTATAGGTGACCCACCCTTCGGCATATTGTCAGTCACCTTATAGGTACTTATATGTTGTGATGTGGAACCCTAACTTGGATGTTTTGGACTCTGCTGTGCAAAGAACAGGTCCTTCTGTGATTCTGCTCCTAGATGTTTTACGGCCACATTTTCTTTCCCACCAGCTTGCACAGTAAGTGGGCTATGGGATGCTCAGGATCTGTTCTCTCTATGGATGGGCACCATGAAAATTTTGTGCAGCTGGGCATGAGTTCATCTGTAAATGCAGCTGGTGAAAGTGGCAAAATGCATTCGTTAGCTGGACTAATAATGATTCTGTCTGAATAAACAAATAATTATTCTGTTTGATCTGTGACCGTAATGTTACAGCTCTGTGGACATTTCTTGTTCTTTCTCACATATGCTCAAAGCAAGCAGGGTTTTAAATTGTTTATCATATGCCTGCTGTGTAGAAAAAAAAACCCTGTTATCCAGCTGCAGGTTGGAAGAACTCCATTAAAATCTACTGAGACAAAATGATACCGAATTGTATACAAAAATGAAAACCAATTTAAATTTACCATGCTGAATTTGATGAAAGACCAGTTGGGAACATCTGTAAATAACCATTTCATCCTGAAAAGCTTCCTTTCCTTTTGCCAGGATCCCAACAGTTTGGAAAGAGGCAAAAGATCTTTAAGCAGGAGTTGACTTCCTAGCAGATGGCTACAGCCACTGTTTCCATAGGTGGCAGCCTTAAAGAACAGATCTGACAAATTTAGGGATAAATTTAGGGAGTTACTCTTTGAGATCTATTGCAATTTTAGGAATCTTTGATTCCATGATTACTACGGAGCAAATTCTCAGTGTGGTGATTCTTAATGCTTAAGACATAAATAGTCGTTATGCCTAGTATTTTTAAATCAATAAATAATAAGACTGGATATAGAATGCTTGGTTAAAATTACTTACCATAGCTCATCACTTGTATGGTAATGAGCCTTTAGCTTTCTCAGGAATCCACGCTTCTGATTCTGCTCACGTTTATACTTATTCTATATTCATTTAACTCTGGTGGTTTCAGAGAAGGTATTGTAGATTCGCAGGTGCCCAGATTTGTTCGTTGATTATGGAAAAAGAAATGTTCAGCCTTACAATTGCGGTAAATCGGGGGCAAGGGGGAGAAGAGAATGAACTGTCATAATCAACCTTGACTACTGAGACTCTTACATTTCTTTTCCTATCAAAATGAGTACGTTTGGGTAAATGATAATGTAATATGAACAGAAAAATTACCTCAAGATTTCCAGGAACAGAAATTAAGACCTTATTCACAAATAAATTACGCCTTTTGTGACTTCAAATGTCATGTACTGGAAGTTGAACCGAAAAACTGTCCTTTGGAGCCCTGCTCTGTAACTAGTATGATTGATATTCATCATCAATGGTTTTGGGGTTCAAATAAAATACAAATCCATGATGTAGTCAGACCTGCAGGTTGACTAGCTGAATATATTCTGGAGAATAAAAAATAGGGAGAAAAAGCTGCAGTACTGAATATCTGTTTTAAAAGGAAATGATATTTCAAAAGAGGAGTCGCTTAAAGTAGACTGACCCATGAATACTTTGTGATTTCTTTTTCTTGCCATGAAATTCAGATTAAATGAAACTGGAAAGGTTTCCTCTGGAAACCCTTTAGCAGGGGGGTGGTGCAGGGGGTTTGCCTAGCTTTCATGCCTGCAGCAAGTCTTTTCCATATCAATCTCATATGCTTCTTACCATGCCAAAGTGTGTTCTTAATATAGCAGTAATTGTTATTGTTATTCTTAACATCTTTGAAAAATAATTAAACACTACTGTTCTTTTGTATTAAAGTTCTCTCTGCTGTTAAAAAGAGATTTGAAGGCCTGATGAAATGTACTGAATTACTGTGTAGTTATCATATTTCTGCAGTGAAGTGTGGTAGTTAGTAGTTAAGTACAGAGCACTGTACTGTGTTACTTATTCCATACTGTATTTTGAGAAGCTCATCAAAGCCGGCTGCTAGCAGCTTTGTTCCAACACCGTTATTGCTTTGCAGGCTGATGTTCCTCAGGGAGTGATACGGGTGCAAGCGCCTCATCTTTCGAAAGTTTCCATGGCAATACAGCTGACAGAAGAACTGAAAGCCGGTGATATAGTAGCCAGGTTTCTCAGCCAGAAAAGGTACAAACACATTTTTGTTCTGTTATCATTTCAGGAGAAGTGACTTTTCATATATTATACCAAAAAAAAGTTTTAAAATACTTTAAGACCAGGTGAGTTCATGAACTTTTCAATCAAATTTAGCCATTAGAATACATGCTTGAGGAATTTACTTAATGCTCCTAGTATCATTAAACCTCACGAAGCCTTCAGGAATACATGAATGTACTGTTGGTAAAAAATTAACTGCTGTTTAATCTGATGGGTCAGGAATAGTTTTGTAACTTTCTGGGGACAAGACAGAAGGGAGCTCCAAGAAAATAAGTCTAGCAAGCAAAGGAATGAGGAAAAGAGAAAGAAAAAACTTCGTAAAAAAATGTGTTTATATATAGCAACAGTAAAGGTATTGGGATATAAATATATGCAAATGTCATGCATGTGCAGTGATATAAAAGGAAAGATATATTTGAGTCATCCAAATCCATTTAGAAAGGGAGAAGTTTTAATCAAGCTTTTATAAAGCTTTTATATTGATTTTAATATATATGAGCAAAGTAAGAAATCAGACTAGACTTAGCAAAAAAAAAAATATTTAACACACCTGTGCATCATATATAACTATTTATGCTAAAGCAATAACGTGGTACACTAGTTGAGATTAAGAAGCTGCTTTTTCCTGAATACGGTTTTTAGAGGTTTACACTTTTCACAGAAAGTTATTTTCTGGCTGTGCCTTAGCATATATTATTACAATTAAGCACTGAGAATAATAGAATCCTTTTGTAATACAGGGAGTTTATTCTTCCACTATGTGTTTTTTACCTCTTTTAGTTGCAGCAAAATTAAAACTAACAAGAATGTGGTTTCTCCCACCCAACCATAAGGCTTTTTCAGAAATATGAAGTGTTTGAGGGGAATACTTATTTTTGCAGCAGCGGTGAAAGAAAAATCAGAGGATAAATATCAGGCTACTTGCTAATAACAATGGAATTATTTTCTGAACCCTACAGTTTCTTTACATCTATCTAATTTTACCTTTTCTACAGTGCGTTGTTTACTTGCAGGAGTATTCATTTGCACTAGCATGCGAGGGTATTCTTGTTCACTTATTGTATCAGTAAATGAGTAGAAACATGAAGGGTTTGTGAAAGGTACGCTGCTGATCTTAATTAGCATAATCTCTCCCGGACACGTCTAAGTGGCTGATGTACAAGCTCTTTTGCAATATAGTTATTCATTGTGTTTTGTTCCTGACAGTGGAAGTGTCCAAACACTCAAGAAAGAAGAGGTTTTTCTTTATGAAATCGGAGGAAATATTGGTAAGAATGGCTTCTGAACAACTTCTTCTCCTAGAATAGGATTCCTTGGCACGTTGTCCATGGGCTTCAGTGTGGTTGCATTTTTATTCCATGTCCCTAGTTCTCCCTGACACTGCAGCAGACAGTTAACCTGTCTGGGAGAAGGAAGAAGAGATGTTGGTGTGATCAACATATTAGCAGTATCTTATTATCTCTCCCAGAGGAAGACAGCAGCTGTAACAGATGTTCCTAATGTGTATGTACAGTGAAGAAGCACAGAAAGGTTGGATAGGAAAGTGCTTGAAGTTCCTCTTACTCATCTCTTTGTATTGAGGCATAATAAGTGAACTTACAGTCCTTCATGCTCTGCATTTGAGTGTTGCTTGTAGATTCTTTTGGGGGAAAAAACGCTCAACCAGAAAGATGACCCAGTGATAAAATTTTCCAACAGTTAGTCTTTCCTACTTGGTGTCTTCCAGACCTTCTTGATTAAAGTAAATAGCAGATCAGCAAGGTTAATGCCAAAGGATAATTTTGAACACAGTCCTGAAACGTTCTTTGACGAAAAAATTATTTTTGCAGTGGGAATCAGTTTCTAATCACAGTATTTTTCATATACTCAGCAAAAAAAAAAAAAAAAAAGGAACTAGAAAACAGTATTGGATTGGACTTACATTTACTTTTTTCTTATTAACTGTGACCTGTTAAACTTTATTTGAAGTTATAGAATTCCATGAATACCCAGTACTTCCGTACTCGGCAAGTTTAAAACTTGCATGTAAATTGCTACTTCTAGCATTTTTCCTTTTTACCTAATCACTATTTTAAATCAGGGTTTTTTGTGTGTGTGTCTAAACCAAAAGATTTAAAGTAAATGAAAAATAACACTTTCCTATGTTCCCTACAACAGTTATGTTTTAGTGTTTTTACTAAGTCTCATGGCAAAAAAGAAGTTACTAAGATAGCTGGATTCAAGATGAATGTATTACATGTTCTCTTGCATATCTAGTATGTACATACAGTTGCTATGCCTGTTAAAGCAGGTTGTGATCCCAGATGAAAGACTTTTTTAAAGGAGAGGAGTATCTTGTTTATTGTACAGAGGTATAGTCATTGTAGAAAAAAGGTTTTGTACCAGAATTCCAATGAAACTGGAACAACCTACTATCACTTTAAACATGTGACAGAAATTGTATGTCTCTTAGAGAAAATACATTGCTAGTTGCAGATTTGGTTTGTTGTGAAACAGAGGAAACATCTAAGCTTTCTATCCGTTCTGAATGGTTTACTTCCAGACAATTTCAGCTTTAATCAGCCCTTACATATACTAGTCCTTATTAATACTCTCAGTTAAGCTAGGAGAAAGTCCCTGACATGAACCTGCTCTACAGGTTTAAGTGAACCAGCTGTCCTGATCTTTGCCGTTTCTCTGTCTGTGCCCGATGCGATTGACTCCTGTGGAGGGAGAGCAGAGAAAGCAAGAAGACTCGACAGGCTTGTGGTGCACTCATATGCTTACACTTATGTTCAGAATTGGAACATGTGCAATGCTGCAATTCTGTCTCCTAGCAGATGGAGCTGCTGAAGTCTCCAGACATTTTCTGAGTACTCAGTACACTATGGGGCCTCAGGGCACTGAATGGGACTTCTGCCATTGCTTCGTGACCAGGACTGGATAGGGACATGGCAAACCACTATCCCTGTGATCTCACTGCCTGAACGTGCTGCATTGTGTGGGGGAGAGGACCTAGTTCAGCAGCATAGGTGGTACAGGTCATGTAGGTTGGGATAAAAATCCTAGAGGAAAGACAGGCTGCCACCTGGCAAGGAGAGCGGATGGAGATGGAGAAGAGGGGAGACCGAGCCTGGTTGACCAGGGAGTCTTGTCTTTTTGCCTGCTCTGTGCAGGGACTCCAAAGAGCTGGCAGACAAACCCAGCTGCAGCTTCATGCCTCTGCTTGCCTCCTGCTTCGGGAGCACATGTACTGGAAACATCTGGCTGGCACACGAGCCATCTACTCCAACCACTTGCATGGTCGAGTAGGAGAGGGGCTGTGATGTGGAGCTGCAAATGCGCGAGATAATGCTTTGCCTGTAGAGGAATGGGAAGAGTACGAAGATCTTGATGGATCTGCCTACACTATTTTCATCACAGCTACTAGAATAAATTAATTGCTTGTAATGCACCAAGAACACTGTACTACTTTTGCCTCCTAGGACAGTAACCATTACAAGTGTGATGCTGAACTGCTGACCAAGAGGAGTAACACCTTCTTAGCAAGGACAAGCCTTGCTCAAACCTTCCATTTAAGGAGAAAATAACCTGAAATTCTAATGGGCTTCTATGCAAATGTGAACCTAGTGTTTGGATTTAACCACAAGAGGACCATGGCATTGCTCCTTTTTTCCTAAACCTTTGCAGAGGGGAGCTCTGTGTGAAGAATCTGACCTAGAACATGGCACAGAGGTGGCAAAGCCCCTATTCTCCTTCCTCCTTCCTCTCTCCCCCTTCCTCCCCAAGACAGATGGGAAGGGTAAGAGCACTTCTAGGTTTTAGCTGCATTGTTCTTTGTTTAATACCACAAGAGAGGGCTTGAAAACCTAAATGGAATAAAGCAGTGCCAGGAACTTTGAAAGTTGTTTCTTTTCTGTTTTGGTACTGCTATAATCACATCTCTCTTCTTTTTCTAGGAGAACGCTGCCTTGATCATGATACCTACATGAAGGACTTATACCAGCTCAACCCAAATGCTGAGTGGGTTATAAAATCTAAGCAGAGCTAAGCTCACAACTGATGGCAAAAGAACCTGTGGACTTAACTTTGTAAGGCTGAATGTTTCAAAGGGATAGTGCGTCCTTTCAACATTCAACTGTGTTATATGTATTAATAGTACCTTATCCAGTTTAAAAAAAAAAAAAGTGATGGAAACCCAACAGTGATTACCAGTAAATTTTCAGTTTTACTCGCAGCAAAATTTTGGAGATAGCACAGTTTTCCCACTCATGTTTGAAAAGACAGTAAGTACCTTAAATATTTTAATGGCACTAATCTACCTCCCATCTGGTAGGTCTTGTTTCAGAAGAATTTATTTTTCAAACAGATGTTTAACCTCTTTATATTGGAGATCTACAATCTGTTTGTGTAGAATTGTGTGTTCATATAGGTCTTTACAGTGCTAGTACACTGGAGAACCAAATCCTGATCAGCACTTCTGAATGGTACAGTATTAAAAATACCTAAAACCAGTCATATGAATTTCCCAAGTAAGTGTGAAATTCACGGGAAAAAAACTGCAATGCAATATATTTTGTCTTTGGAAGTCCTAATTTTGTTCACTTTCTAGGTAGAGTTTGATGAAAACTATTTAAAAATGACTGTGAAAATGCTTTCTATGCAGCTTTTTTGCTAGGTCTTTTAAATATTTTTTTTATTCTTCTTCCAGTTGATTGTAGTCTTGAGATTATTTTTTGAAAAAAGAAAGGACCATGTGACAAGTTGAGTAATTTTTAAAACTCACCACTCTTGGCAGTGTCCTTTCTGGAATATTTCATACACTAGGAAGTTGTTTAGGTTTTTCAGCAATGATGTGCAGCCATGTTACATACACTGGTTTCACGTTTTTTTGGACATCTGATTGCATTTTGTGAACTGCCAAAACCTGCCAATTACTAGCACAAGAAAAACTTTCAGGAAGAATAACATAACTATGGAGGGAAACTGTAATTAAATTTCATAGGTAGCAAACCACTAAACCTTTTCGCTCAAAACCAGTGTAAAGGTCTACTGTGGAGTTCACATAGGCTTTCTGGATATTATCTACCATCAGCTTTATGTCTGCTCTATCCTGGACGAGGCTGGAAATCAAGTTCTGATTTCCCTTATGCTGATAGATGCTGTCTAAACCACTTCAAAAATTAAGGGTCCAATGGTGAACTATTGCACATCCTTCTCTTTGCAGGGAAGGACTGAAAGGTCCCCATGGAATTCGCTGATAATGAATTATAGACTGATGTGGCTTGTTGCAGCACAAAGAGCTGTGAACTCCAGCTCCAGAGCCCCAATCCCACAGCAATGCTTTGGGCTCACTAACTTGTGTAGTGCTTTACAATTTTATTTGTAAACTAGCTCAGCCGTGCTTAAAAGCTCACACTTGCGTGCTGACTACCTGAAATAACTACTGTGAAATTATATCCTTGGAATGAAATATTTTCTTTCAGTGTACACACAGAATTATATTGACCTCATAGGGAATATTCTATATACAATCAAGGACTGAATTACATTTATTTTTTTTTTAATGTGATCAAAGCTGATTAAAGGAATAAAGGGCCTTTCTGCTGAGCTTTGGATACAGGCCCTGACTGTGGTGTTCCCAAAGTAACCACTGGAACTCTCCCTTTTATATATAAGCAGTGAAACAGAACTCTGAAAGGTCATAGAAAAATTAGACATGTACTGATTAGTTATCCACAGCATATGAACAATTTTGGGGGTGTAAGTATTTATTGTTTTTTAAAGTCAAAGGCTGTCTTCATATGGAAAGGAAGCACTGAAGGATTCTCAAAAGCAGGATGAATAAAATAGGAAATTGTTCTAAAGTGACTGTCCTGCCCTCGATGCTCCATTTCGCTGGGTACCCCTACGTGGTGCAGCACTGTGCCACTATGGGCGAACTCTGTAAGACAAACCACTGTTGTCAATAGAACAAACCACACTCCCTGTTCTTTAAATGTTAGGAGTAGAGTAGAAAACCAGTACGATGTTTAGGTAAATATTTATGAATCTAATGCAATAAATACAAGGTTTTTTTTGTCATATAATGCAAAAATTATATGTGTTTTCATAATACATTATAGTTCTGTAAAAGATTACTTATTACTGGAACTCTAGATGTTATTTTAATGAGGAGCAAAGTGCGGATGATAGGAACAGCTGTACAGTTTCAGCCTAAAATTACTACTGCCCTGTGGCTACGATCTCTTAAATAACTTTGTTTCTGGTTTAGTGCCATTACCTTTTTTTAATTTAAAAAGCTCTTTTATAATTAAATGTTGTTTTTTTCTGACATCTTTTCTCATTTGAATTCTTATATTTGTATGTAAAACATACACAATTGACACTAAGCGGTGATTATTTCTTATTTTCACACTTTATATCTTTGTAGATAGTTTGTAGTTTTTGCATATGAAAAGAGACATTGATAAGTTAGAAAGAGTCTTGCAACATGAGTGTCTGCTGGGAAAGGAAATACTGGCTAGAAGTTTAAAACTTCACTTGCAATCACAGCACACCTTAGCTAAATCCATGTTATAACACTGACTGGGTATATGTGAGGGAACAGCAACTTCTCAGCATTTATTGAAAATACTGGCTCTTAATTCCTCATAATTAAAGAATTAAATTAGGGCACAAGGGGGAAGTCCAACATGCATTCAGGTAAGCTGATAAGAATCTTTTATAATTAAGAAGACAACACTGCTTGGGTTGCTTATTTGGGGCAATTTGGCAGCCAATCATTGTTTGACTGACAACTTGGGAAACACATCCACAGGTCTTTTTTCACCCAGCTGACAGATTAATTAACACTTAGTGTGTAACTCCACGTGGGCAGAGCGGCGGGGATGCGTCTGGAACAGCCAAAGGCATTGCAGGACTGGGAATAGGGGGAAGGATGGAGTGGAGAAGCCAGCGGTGGCCCCTCGTACCGCTGCCTGAATGTTGTGGAGCACGTAAGGATGGTTTTGTGCTCAAAAATCACCCTGCAATGTATATTTGGGGGGGGGGATGAGAGGGTCCGCAATGCTTATGTGGGGTGTTGACAACTTTCTTCCGCTGCCTGTCCTCTTCAAAGACCAAGGAGTTTGCACTCATTTTCCATAGCCTCCTGTACTTCCTCACTTTGCATGAAGTGCACGTGCCATCTCTGAATATCCACGGGTGCTAAGAAGAAAGCTGTCATCCCAACCACCTCCGCATGCGTGAGCCGCGGTGAGGCAGGCAGCAGCACGGCAGGATGTTCTCACGTTGCAGGTCAACAAGCTGTGTGTGTGAGCGTGCTGGTGAGGTGTCAGGAAGGCGGTAGGGAGCAGGAAGATGAACGGGTCTGGATGTGTTGGAAGCATTGACTGAGTTTCCAACAGGCCTTTTGGTATGCGGTGGCATGACTAAGATGAATTCAAGGGGTAAGGAGACGTATTTTTATACAGTGAGCACTGATGGAGAAGGCAGTGTTTGAGAAAGGCCTGCTTGAAACTTTTTCCAGGTCATTATTTGTCAGATACTCTTCTTAAAAGCAATGGAGCTATCCAATAAAATACACTCCCAAGTATTGAGTTCAATTGCAGCAGAAAGCTAATTTGGCAAGAGATTTTCTAAATGAATTATTTTCTCTGTATCACACTTAAATATATCTGAGGATTAGACCTCTATTGTTCTTCTATTTTTAAAATGTTGCAGCCATTCAAAAAGAATAAAATGTGTATGCGCTGATCTTACAGCAATATTTTTTATGTAGAGCAGTGCTTTAAAGATCTTTAAACCACTGTTTGTGTTTGCACACAGACCACATTTGAGGCAGGTAAGTACTTATCATCCCCATTTCACAGATGGGAAAAGTGTTCATAAATGGCTGGCCTGCGGCTAGAAGGGGTGAAATCAATCTGTTTTGTAGAAACCAAATGTAATCCTCCAAAAATTGTTTTAAAAATCTGCCATATTGCCAATAACACACTACAGCAATCACGAATCTGACTTCAGGGGACTGTTTTAATAAATACAATGCTGTGGTTTTTAGCCTGGTTTCCAAAGGAAAGGCGTCTGGGGTAATCTCGCTGCCTGTGTGTGTCTTCCGCTAATTACTTTTGAATCTGTTGGCAGACTTCAGTCATTTTTGGCAAATGGAGTCAGCTGAGGGAATGTCTCAAAAATAATTTTCTACGAGCTTCATAAAACTAGGCAGCTGAAAGGGAGACAGAGGCAGTATGAGTCCTTTGTTCAAAGGGAAGATGACAGCGTAAGCTTTACCTTTATTTAGGGACCAGAACAGATGCGGAGGAGAGACCATACACATGCTCTGATCATGGTGGGAGGCTGCGCTTGGAACTCACAGCCAGCCATCAGGAATTGGCATTGGGTGTTTGGATGCCTGTGAAAGCATTTGCTTGTGTTGCCTTCTGACTTCTGAATCTTCTTTTCTGACATGATGTGGGTGATTGTTGCTCAAGCTGCAGTTGTTTTCCTTCGCTGGCTTTTGTGGTGCAGCTTCTCCGCAACTTCTTGTTAGTACGGTTCATCCCCATCGCCTCCCTATGGGCTGAGCAAGTAACTGAGCACCTTCCCGGCCTGAGCTGTACCTGCAGTTAACGGCTTTCACACAGGTGAGGAGGTGGGTAGCGGTACATCTGCTCTCTCTGCTTGTAGGGCTGTTGGGAATTACCTTCATCCTGGACAAAGATCAGATCTAAAATTGGTCGGTATCAAAGGACAGTCTTCACATGCAGGTTTTAAACTGTCACGGGAATATAGCTTGCCATTCAGATCCTCTGTTCTGAATCATATGGAGGTGGTGGCGGTGGTTCAGAATCCCTGCAGATATTACCACTCCTTGATTAGTCCCTTTTGAGATAACTGAAAGGACCCTTCATTCGTCCTGTGGCACTGTCAAACCAGTGACTAACACTGGTTCACATGGAGAGCTGAAGTCTCTGTACGTTACCTGCCACATGAACTTTGCCCTCTGTGTTACCGTTACGCCTCTGTGATGCGTTACCCTTGAAAATGCCTGGGTTTGGGTTCAATTGGCTCGGTTCCCGTGAACAGTCTGATCGCATGCTACGTCACTAGGTCAGGTCCTGCAGGTCATTCAGTTCTGTGCTTCTTTCCCATGGCATTTCTTGTGCCTTCAGAGCGGTGAACACTTGGATACTGCATGGATGTGTGGTTGCTGTCCAGTGTAAGCCATCGCCCGTCGGGGAGAAGCGGCGGATCGGTCCTGCCGCACGCACCTCTGCGTTTCCTTGTCTGAAAGCCGCCCTCTGTGCGAAATCCCTGTGAGCTGCCACGGGC